CATTACCGGACCCTGTTGCATCTGTGCACTGCCTACACGCTCTCCACCTCCAACAGGATGTATTCCAATTGGTTTGTTCAGCATCAGCTGACATCAGTTACATAAGGCTCGTGATTGGAGGAAGCCTGTTTGCAGAGACAAAGTATGGGCAGTTTCGCAACCGCGCGATTCTCTCCTCAGCTTACTTCCTTGTATAAGATGACCTTCAATTTTTAGTGTAATGATTTTAGAAAAAAGTATCATCTTATACATGGAAAAATACGGTACTTAAAATAATATTTTGTCTAACGTGGCATCTGACTGGGAGAAGACTGGGAATATGGCTTGGGTTCAAACACCTCTTCCCCTTATTGTGAATGAACAAATCCCTTGGGAAAAATTAATCCAGTATGGATTTGTTTACTAAAGACTACTATAGCCTGAGTCATAGTAACATATACGTAGGTAGTTGCTTTTCCTAAAAAGTATCTGATGGCTGAGCATGTGGATTGGGTGCACAAAGCCCCAGAAAAACAAGCCCAATAATTCCTGGTAGATCCTGATCTGAAATCCCAAAGATCTATCTAGTAGGGGGGCAAAAATAGTGAAGTAGTTGGACCAATAGTCTGAGTAATTATAAAGCAGCTTTCTGTGTTTCTCTTGACTAAAATGAATGTTTATGGACACCCTGAAAGCTTTGTATTTATGAAAACAAGCTCCACTGGCATCTAAAATGGTGATAACCTCAGCTCCTTACCCATTTTTCTCAGGCAGAAAATTGTTGAATGCAATATTGCTATATCTAGATTATATCTTTCTTTTGATATATACACATAGACACATGCACATGTGTGTTAAAATTAGGAATGCTTCCAGTATCCATGCCTGTCATCAATAACTGAATCGAAAAGAGTTGAAATCGAGGGCAATGAAATTCAAAGCAAAACAAAACCAGCATCATTATCCTTTAGGCAGTATTTCAATTTCCTGGATTAAATCAAAATTTAGAATTTTTTCATTAGAAAAACCTTGGCGATTTGAAACTCTCCTAAGTAATATCCAAAGCAATGCTCTGAACTGAGATACAGAACACAATTCATCAGCAACTTTGCTTGCACTGGCTAGATGATCTGATAGACTACTTAAGTAGTATAGAAAAATGAATGAAAAAGATGTTTCCTCTGACGGGTCTGGTGATATTGCAGAGATGATTTTTATAGCATTTTCAGCTACAGTATACAAAATTCGTGGAATACAGGTCACTCTGGGATCCTCATGAAGTTGTAGTATATTTACAAAGGGTGAAGCTGAGATACTTTCCTATGTGACAATGTTAAGTGGTTCCCACATCCATCCATGTCATGAGCAATCTGAAACAGGAAAAAAAATCTGTATGTATTGTAATTAGATGGAATTTATCTGAATTTATGCCTACAATGGTACAATCAAGTCTGCATTCTGTTTTCAAAAGTGCATGGTTTGGTCTATTTAAAAGCTGTGTTTCACTATTAGTATGTTTATAATATTACTTACATAATATCAAACCTAGAGTTTATTTCCAGGTAAATGAGCATAGGAATGTGGCCTAGACACACTAAATGAAAACTAGTCTAAAATAAAGAATTTCATGAATAAAATGTTACAAGCAAAGTAACAAAGATCTCATGATTTCAAGTGGAAATTAAAGTTACGCCTTTGGATAAAATTAAGATAGTAATGTTAAAATACTTAGCTGAAGCTATCCAAATGTTCTCCTTACTTGCATAAAGTAGCCAGATAAGAGGGCTTATTTTTCTGTTCAGTACATTTTCTTTCTGTCCCAAAATTGGTGCTGAAATTGGGAGTTCAATTTGTCTCACGCTGTCACCCAACTCCATTTTGATGGCTTTTGCCATTCTTAATACCTAACAATTCAGAAAATAAACCTGACACTATTTTTCAGTATCATCTGAGAGGAAAATACACAATTACATTTTATTCAAGGATCCCATTTATAATTTTAAAAGATTTATTACATCAATTGCTGGAAGGTATTTATGAGATTAATCTTTGGATCACATTGAATTCTACTTATTGTATATGACAGTTCTGTAATTTTTGTTTGTTAAATGTATAGACCAGAGAGTACAATAATCAGCACACATACAGCCTCATTGATGAAATGTTCTGGTCACAGGGTAGAGAAAATTAAATGCAGTGCTCCATTTTATCTTGTTTTATTTAATATTTTGCTTTTGGAATTGTTTTTTAAGAATTATGTTTGGTCTTGTTACTTAAGAAACTCCCTGTTCTTCTAATTTTTTGGTCAATAGTCCATGTATCATGTCATTACCATGCATTTTGTTCCTAGCATGTCTCTATGACAGAAATTTCCTGAACAAATTCATAGCTATTTATTTTATTTTAAGAAACATGGTAAAAGAACCCTTTTCATTTGTTTTTCTTACTACTAGTCATAACTCCCTAAGCTTTTATTGTAGAGTTTTCTATATTATAATAGTGCGATCCTATAAATGTATTAGGATTGATAAAGCTTATTTCATGACTGTAGTATTGCAATCTAATTTACCATTTTTAAATGTGAGTCTACCACATAAACTGAGGATTTTTCAATGAGAACTGTTAGAATTGTGTCTCTTCCTCAGCAAAAACTCCACTTTAATTATTGTATCCTCTCAAGCCTTCTCTTGTTCTTTTTATAACTGAGTTACACTTCAACTTCAGCTACTACATGCTGTGGTTTTTGATACCCAAGTACGGCACACATTACCTTAATTTAATAGGCAAACTACCTTAATTTAACAGACTAATTGAGGGGAGGGGGTATCAATTGTTCACAAATGTCCATTAAATAAAATATGTCATCACAAATCAAATCTTTATTACAGTCATAGACAGCATGTCATCACAACAGTTTACCTTATTTGAGTGGTGCCATAATTATGCAAATTATAGAAATTACATCATTTACATAATGATATTGCCCCACAGATGATGTAAACTGCCACAGAAATTTGGTCCACTTCATGTGAAGTCTGTTGTACTGAGGTCTACTAGGTTGAGCTTTCATGTTTCTTCAAAAGCAATCCATGGTCATAACCTCCCCATCTCTTAACAAACTGCTCCTATTCTATAACTACTGTGACATGTTCAACCCCAGCAAATGGAGCTGTACATAAGATTCCTGCCTCTTGAAACTATTCCTTACTTAAATCTGGAAGCGCTTCTTTTAAAATTTTGGTTGTTTTGTTTTGTTTTTATTTTTATTTTAATTGTTAGCTGCCCGGAGTCATGTATATGAGATGGGTGGCCATATAAATTTCTTAAATAAATAAACATCTATGTGATGCTGCTTCTCTCTGCCTCAAAAGTACTTTTTCCCTATAGCCTTTGATTAGTTTTTATCTCTGTGTGAAAACAAACCTAAATATGTGTACAACCCAGGGACTATATACAACCCCTAAGCCAGCCAGAGCTCCTACTCCATGGTTGTAGCCATGATTTTCTTAAGATACCCACTATCCCTGCCAGACCCCCTCCCGAACTCTTCAAAACTGGATGTTTTTCCCATCTTGGGTGGAATTTAAGGGGCAGAATGAGACTCTAACCCCCTGAAGGGGCTAAGGATTTTATCTTGAATTTTTATCTTTTTTGTTTTTCTGTTTTTACTTAGTGTTTTATGATGTTTATTGTTTTTATGTACAGTATGCTGCCCAGGGTCACGTATTCTGAGATGGGCGGCTATATAAATGTGTTAAATAAATAAATAAATAAATAAATAAATAAATAAAATAAGGCACCCATTAAATTCTTAAAATATCACAGACAACTAAAGAAAACAGACAACTAAAGAAAATAAAACAAAAACGTTCATTTTCTAATTCTGATGCTGTCATGGCATTTATGTCCCAAACCTTTTGCAGTGCTTGGAGACTCAGAACTTTTCCAGGGCCACAAGAAACTCATACACTCTAGTATCACTGAGCAGAATGCATATTCCTTATTTATTGTTGCTTCCTCAACATATTGTTTTATTGCCTTCTTCTGTTGATTTTGCACTGTAAGGCCCTTACAGAACCTAGTTTTTCCACTGATATTCTGTAAGTTTTATGCACTTCTGTGGTGATGTATACCAATATTTTATTATTTTATGTTATTATTGACTGGTTCCTGTTTTATTTAAAAAGATTGCTCCCAAAATGCCCAATTTTAAAGCTCGAACAATATGACTGTTAAAATCACTTACATTCTGGGGACACTGAAACTGCTAGTCGATTTAAGGAAACTCTAAAAGGATGCTATATTTAAGTATGTTTATTTAGCAGGGTAAAATAATGTGTTTGTTCCACACAGAAATGGTTCTTGCATATAAATAGAATGTACAAATCTTTTTTCTAAAATGCCACATGCATTGTGATGCTGGCAAAGATTGTGCATCCATCAAAGGAAAGCCCTCAGTTTTAATTTGAAATGGTATTATCAAGAAAAGATATGTTTATCACTGATATCTATGTGACAAGTAGGTCTAAATAGCGGGTTGCTACAACTGTGAAAAGCAAGCTATATTCCTATTGATGGGGTTTATTTGCACTTTAAAAAGTGTGCTGATACACTGTCAGGTTTGTCAGTCTTTTGCTACATCACTGAACTAAATCCAGTGTCAGTTGTTCATATAGTATAGACAAACATCTGTAGGGCTGTATGATTTTATTTTCATTAAAGATAATGTGAAAGAAGAAACATTACCCAATCTGAATGTCTGTGTCAAACAGACCTGTGTAAATTAAATCTACATCTCAAGACTACATTAATTGCAAATGTTGTCATTTTTAAGGGTCCAATATGCAATAAATTAGGTAATCTAAGAAATGTTTGGTTGATGAATTGATAGGATACACTGTGAAATGAGAAGCTGTGAATGGCACAGTTGATGCAATTTCTAAGGTATATTTTAATTCATGTGAGTTAATATTTATGACAATCAAATAGTAAGTTAAGCCTAAAATTCCTATTTACTAATGTTGTAAATTTAATAATTGTTTATGAACCAACTTATTTTTTAATTAGTTATCAGCAGTTATTTGTAGATACTCTGGGAATCACAAGTGTTCAAAGCTTACTTGTTACCATGACAGCAATGGTGAGCATTTCCTCGAAGCAGCCAAATTTACATGAAACTAAAATAGCTTTTGACAGCTGTGGATCAATATGAAATTCTGACATCATTGTTCCAAAGTTTAAAAGGCTGGCATCATTGTCCAGGGCAGTTAAATAATCCAGATACTGCAATGCCTGCATTAGACTTTCAGGAGCTAGGATAGGTAGAAATTACTACTTAAGTTTTTTCAGAGGAAGAATCAATATAACTTCTAGAAAGGGATGCCTATTTTTTACCCAAATAAAACACCCTGAAAACTGCAATTAGCCAACAAAACAGAGAATGTAAAATCCATTATAATTACACAAAATACAATTTGGACTAAACTAATGAATCACAAACAACCCCGCAAGTAGTTTAATTGACTTCCAAACAATACCACAAAGGGAATTTTTAAAAAACAATTTTTCATATATTATTGAGAAATAAAAGGGCATCTCCCCACCCCCATCCCCAAGCAAACATTTGGAATGCACTTCTATACCTGGTTCCAGCACACTTTTTTAAAGTCATATTAAAATCTTTTATATAGGATTTTTTTTTTTTAATCCACACTCATTTGTTACCGACTCTATGGCGACTGCTTGGACGAGTCCTTTTGCAGTTTTCAAGGCAAGGTGTTTTGGAAGTGGTTTGCCTTCCTAGAGCAGAGCCCAGCTGGCGAGCGCAGGAGGTGGGGTTTCCGTTGCTTCGTGCCTTTTCCGGGTGAGCGAGGCTTCCACGCTACTGGCAACTTCTCTCGACTCCTTTTTACAAAGCACCGCCAGCATTTTTCCTCCCACCGGAGTGAGAGTACCCATTTATCTACTCATGTAAGTTTTCGATCTGTTGGGTTGACAGGAGCTGGGGAGGAAACAGGAGCTCACTCTGTTGCGCGAAAACTGGGCTTGAACTGCTGAAGTGTCAACCATTTCTGGCTGGCAACTTTCAGCATCATTAAGCCGCTGCGCCGTATTGTCTATCATCTATCTATCTATCTATCTATCTATCTATCTATCTATCTATCTATCTATCTATCTATCTATCAGTCATCTATTGGACACACACATGCTATTTGATTGTTTTACTTCATTTTGATTATGGCTGGATGTTAGGTTGTTTCATGGTATTGAAAGTTTAATTTCAGTGTATATTGTTAAGAACCACTGGGGAGCGAAGGGATGGTATATGCATTTTTAAAAAACACTATATAAACCTTAAAACCGTACTTTTAATAATTAATAGATCAGAATAAAAATGATTGGGGACGTCAAATAATTAAAGGCTATGTCATCATCATAATACATGGCTGATTCATGACACCCTCTTTAAAGCCTCTTTAATTCATTTTCCCTCCACAAAATCCACATCATCACTGTGGAAATCTCTTAATTGATTCTGACTTTTTATCAGAGAGAATATAATCTTCCCAAGTGAGATGAAATGAGATGTTATATTTAATATCTTCTATTTTAGATATTGTGTTTATAAGATTTTCAAATAAAACTTTCTAAAAAGTGGAGTACCAAAAGTCTAAAGCTAGGATACTAGTCCTCCATTCCTGGACTATACATATTCTTGCTGCCACCAGCGTAAGTCTGATTTAAGTCTGCCTTAATTTTTAAGATTTTCTTTTTCTCTTTCAGCCAATGATAAAATATATAATTCTGGTGTTGCTAAAATACATGGTATACATATACATGGTATATTCATTTCTGAATGAAAATGATCAGGAACAAATAAGAAGAAATTAGGGAAAAAATAGCATAGCTAGTTTTGTTCACTTCAGGATACTAATGTTGGGGATTCTTGTATACAAGACTTTGCGGGTATTTATAAGACAGATGCGTAGAGACTTTTGCAAGCCCAAAGAAAACATATCTACCTGGAGAATATATAGTTTATGCTGATTTCTACCTTGGGATTATGCATGATGCTAGGAAGAGACACAGCAGGATCTCAATCTGAAATCCATTTAATTGTTATCTTCTGAAATAATTAAATCACAAAAGATCAGTTTCATTTTAAAGCCATGGTTTATAAAGCATACCTTTATCAGAACTCATATGGCCTCATTCTCTTTTCCACTGCAGTGTCATTTCTAATTTAGCTTAAAGGCTGCTGAGATTTTCTTATCCATTTGCTCCCTTGCAAAAATGAATTTTAAGTTTGTACCAGACCATTAATTAAGTCTTTAAGGTGCAGCTTCTAAATATGCTTAAATAAGACAAAATTCAGTTTTCACTGGGAAATGGGCTTCAAATATGGATCCTCCACCTTAGAATGGTAGTTTGTGGCTGATGTAAGGTTTGCCCCGTTCGACAGAGAAACTCCCGTGACACGTGTGGTTCACAAAAGAGGTTTACTCATGCGTAACGTAGCAGTCACAAGCAAAGCCAGGACTGGCTTGGCACATTTACATTACTCCTTTATAGTTGTCTCAATCCCCCCGCGGCCCCGTTGCTAGGTTGCTAGCTTGCGGTTTCGCCTTTCCTCTTTCTGCGCTAGCGCTCGAGCGGTGAAATTGACTAAAG